TTTTTTTTTTTTTGACAGGCAGAGTGGACAGTGTGAGAGAGAGACAGAGAGAAAGGTCTTCCTTTGCCATTGGTTCACCCTCCAATGGCCACCACAGCCAGCGCGCTGCAGCCGGCGCACCGCGCTGATCCGATGGCAGGAGCCAGGTGCTTCTCCTGGTCTCCCATGGGGTGCAGGGCCCAAGTACTTGGGCCATCCTCCACTGCACTCCCTGGCCACAGCAGAGAGCTGGCCTGGAAGAGGGGCAACCGGGACAGAATCCGGCGCCCCGACCGGGACTAGAACCTGGTGTGCCGGCACTGCAAGGCGGAGGATTAGCCTAGTGAGCTGCGGCACCGGCCGAGTTTTGAGTCACACGTGGGGACTCCCCAGGCTGAATTGTCCCAGCATCTCTGGGGATCATGCCTCCTTACTCTTCAATCATCTTCCAGCCCTTTGTAATATGACCTCTCACCCAACACAACCATCAGTAAGTTTTCCTTCTGGACCAGCATTGTGGCATAGTAGGTAAACCCACTGCCCGCAACTTCGGCATCCCATATGGGCACCAGTTCACGTCCCAACTGCTCCACTTCCTATACAGCTTCTACTAATAACCTGGGGGAAAGCAGCAGAAGACAGCCCAAGTGTTTGGGCCCCTGCACCCATGTGGGAGACTTAGAAGAAGGTCCCAGCTCCTGGCTTCAGCCTGGCTCAGCCGTGGCCATTGTGGCCATCTGGGGAGTGAACCAGCCAATGGAAGACCTCTCTGTGTCTCTTACTTCCTCTTTGTAACTCTGACTTTAAATAAATAAGTCTTAAGAAAAAAAAATGTGGCCGGCGCCGCGGCTCACTAGGCTAATCCTCCGCCTTGCGGCGCCGGCACACCGGGTTCTAGTACCGGTCGAGGCACTGGATTCTGTCCCGGTTGCCCCTCTTCCAGGCCAGCTCTCTGCTGTGGCCCAGGAGTGCAGTGGAGGATGGCCCAAGTGCTTGGGCCCTGCACCCCATGGGAGACCAGGATAAGTACCTGGCTCCTGCCTTCGGATCAGCGCGATGCGCCAGCCACAGCACGCCGGCCGCGGCAGCCATTGGAGGGTGAACCAACGGCAAAGGAAGACCTTTCTCTCTGTCTCTCTCACTATCCACTCTGCCTGTCAAAAGAAAAAAAAATGTTTCCCTTCATGTTTAAGTCTACACTATTCTGCAGGTTTGAACATTTAAGAAAAAGGATTTTTCCCTTTATAGAAAGTGTCATAGAGTAAATGTTCTCAACAGTGGCAGGAAAGTCCTGATTTTAGGAATGGCTCCTGGGGAGAGCTGGCAAGGTGCTGGCGGGGCATTCCTGAACCAGCGCCGAGAAACTCTACCGCGCTTTGCATATTTCCTCCTTTTAGGAAGGGGTCGAATGACTTCCTTGGTCACACCTTTCAAGTGTGAATCCTGGCTTGAGTAGGTCTAATGATGCTTAGGCTTCATACTAGCAAAGCACCAGGGCCCTCAACAGCTAATCCGCAGAAATTAAAGAAATATGTAGCACTACAAATATGAGCATTTTTTCATTCTTAAAAAAATATATAGTTGCCAGGTCCACAAGTCTCTAAAGCTTTGCCTGCCATCGGGCAGGGCCAGCAGTGTGGGTGGTGACAAACTCATCTGAGAAATGTGTGTGTGCCCCAAGAGAAACATGGATCATGTTTTATGAGCAGACCCACTCAGGGGTAGAGGTCCACGCTGGCTTTGGGGTGGTCTTGCGGCCACCTGGACAAGTCAGGTTTCTCGCCAGTTCTGGAACTGGCTCCTTTCCAGGCATCATTAGACAACGTTGAAACAGAGAGGGCTGGGGGGAGGCGGGGGAAGCTGTCGGGGAGCCTGGACGTGGTGGAACCTTGCGCACACACTACAGCCCTTCAGAGGGGACTCAAACCCATCCACCCAGCAACTTCCCTCTTAGGGTGGCTCCCTGGGAACCGTAGGGGAGCAGCCAGCATAAGGCCCATGCTGGGACAGGAGGGGGCGCAACAGGCCACAGATGGGATGGATTTGAGACTGAGGTGTGGCCAGCCAGCATAGCTGAAGTGTGTGTGCCACGTACGTGTGACCTTATAAGTTTGAGCCGATGTTAAACAGCATGTCTGGCTGTGTGACATGAGTCATGGCGGCTCTCTGAAAGCTCGGGTGCCCACTCGCCTGGATTTACCTTTCAGCCTAGGTGTTTCTGAGGCTTCCACTAAAACTGCGGGTGCTTCCCCACAACTGTGTGTGTGTAGTAAGGGGCAAGAAGAGATCAGAAAGTTAGAGACTGACCAGGAAGAGGAAACCAGGGACAATCAGGACGCACAGCTTAAACTATGAGGACACAGCAGGTCATTTATCAGACTGGCCAAGCTAAAAGTGGGTTGATGAAATTTGGCATTGGCAGGGGTTCTGGAGATAAGCAGGTGCCTAGATAACAAGGACAGGGCACCTCTTGGGCTTGCAACTTAGCAATATCAACTGAGATGGCCACAGTTCATATCTTCTAATCCACCATTATGTCCCTGCCTTCCAGCTTTGGCCCAGCCTTTGTGAGCATTTGCGAAGCGAACCAGCAGACGGGAGTGCTCTGTCTCTCCAATACGTATTTCTTTAAAAAGCTGAGGTACTGGGGGAACAAGTGACACTAACACAGGTGTGAAAAACAAGCCCAGGTGATGACTACCGCATGGCCACAGAGCTGCGTGCCGCAGGCGCAGGCTGCTGGGAGGCCCGGCTCTACAATGGGGCCATTGATCCGGCGCAGGTGTACACAGGGCCAACCCATTTCCCCTCCCTGCCCACGGCTCCTTGCTGCTCAGGAAGCCGTGCAGTCCACACTGAACCACACAGGCCGCAGCAGAGGACCAGGAGCCGGGGCTGCTGGGGGCTCTGGGCCCCACTCTTGCTGAGAGAGCAGCTTTTGTGGGACAGGCAAGACCAGAGCCCTCGGGTCCTCTGGGGGCTGTTCTGCAGGGCTCAGGTCTTTGCTGGCAGCTGCGTCCATGGCGAATTATGAGGTCATCGACAATAGCAGAGTCCGCTCAAGGTACGGCAGGACTTCAAAACGTTTATGGAAAAACGGAATTAAAAGAGAAGTTTCGGCTGGCGCTGCGGCTAAATAGGCTAATCCTCCGCCTGAGGTGCCAGCCCCCCGGGTTCTAGTCCTGGTCGGGGCGCCGGATTCTGTCCCGGTTGCCCCTCTTCCAGGCCAGCTCTCTGCTGTGGCCCGGGAAGGCAGTGGAGGATGGCCCAAGTGCTTGGGCCCTGCACCCACATGGGAGACCAGGATAAGCACCTGGCTCCTGGCTTCGGATTGGCGCAGCGCGCCGGCCGCAGCGGCCATTGGAGGGTGAACCAACAGAAAAGGAAGACCTTTCTCTCTGTCTCTCTCTCTCTCACTGTCCACTCTGCCTGTCAAAAAAGTAAATAAATAAAACAATGGGAGTTCTTTCTTTCTCTCTTCCTCCATCCCTCCTTCCCTAGAAAAGAAGAAAGACAAAGGAAAAAAACAAAAGAAGAAGTTTCTTTTGGTGCAAAAACTTTTGGGAATGCAAGTGTAATTTCTTCATCATATATATTTTCCATGAACTTTTTGAAGACCCCTTTGTGGATACCCTGTGCCAGCCGTAACCACATGACAACCCCACCAGTAGGCACCACGATGATAAGCGCACTGCAAACTGTGATGTAAATGAGTTATCCAGAGTCTGCCAGCGGGAAGTAAAACAGTCAGGATTCGAACTCAGGTCTGCCAGAGTCCTCTCCTTCTGACATTGCTGCCTTTGACTTTTGCCTTTGGATCTTTCCAGATGTATCTCCCATTGCTTCCTCCATCCATGTGGGTAGGCAGCACAACACTCTTTAAGATTTGTTATTTGAGAGAGAGATACTGAGAAAAAGGGAGGTCTTCCATCCACTGGTTCACTCTTCAAATGGCCACAGTGGCCAGGGCTGGGACAGACTGAAGCCAGAAGCTTCTTCTGGGTCTCTCATATGGGCAGCAGGGGCCCAAGCACTTGGGCCATCTTCTGATGCTTTCCCAAGCATATTAGCAGGGAGCTGGATCAGAAGTGGAGTGGCCGGGACTTGAACCGGCACCCATATAAGATGCTGGTGTTGCAAGTGGTGGCTCTGCCTGCCATGCCTCAGTGCTGTCCCCTGCACAACACTCTCTATGCTGAGAGCAACCCAGTGGAAAGCTAGACCTGCCCAAAGCAGGATTTTACCATCCTCTCTATTTGCGGCACTCCTTTGACTGCATCAAAAGGCTCATCGTGGCCTTCCAGCCACACACGAGCTGAGATGTCCATGTCCCACCTGGAGTGTCTGGCTTTGGCTCCTAACTCATTTCCTGGGTGGCAGCAAGGAAGGGCTTAAGTAACTGGGTTCCTGCCACCCACGTTTCATTGTATCTTAAAAGAGGACTGGATTGAGTTCCTGGTTCCCAGCTTTTTGGAAGCCAAGCCCTGGCTGTTGCAGGCATTTGGGGAGCAAATCAGTGGGTGGAAGCTCTCTCTCTCTCTCTCCTACACACACACACACACACACACACACACACACACGTATGTGTCACTCTCTCTCTCTCATCTCTCTGCCTTTCAAATGCACTTAAAAAAAACCCTGTAAACAACAGCTCATCTTGGTTGGTATTCAGAAATCCACTACAAGCCTCAGCAATAATCACAAAGCAGTCACTCCCTCAATGCCACACTGGTTTCCAGGGCCTCAGAGAGCACCCGGGCTTCTCCAGGTCTCAGCCCCACGTCACTGTGCAAGCAGGACCATCACACACACAGAAGGGCCAGGTGTCAGCTGCACCCCACCTCCTGACCCTGCACTCCTATTTACCACAGGTGACACTGGCTCTGGGCTCTCATCACACCACCTGCTCCAGCCCATCCAATGCCTCTTCTGATGGCTTGGAGGGTAAGGCTTGTAGGTGCTGTTTTCTGGAAAAAAAAAAAAAAAAAAAAAAAAAAAAAAAACAAACAAAAAAACACAAACATACACACACACACACACACAAACCCACATGCTGAGCAGAGTTTGCAGGGCAGGCTGAGGACAGCTCATGGCTGCCTCTTCCCCGTATGACTTCCCCTCCACAGGGGAGATCCCTGGTCACCACGCCATCTCCAAATGCAAAGGGACAAGTGCCTAAAGGGATTCAGTCGCCCACAGGGGAATGCTGGGGAGCAGCTTGGGAGGGGGCGGGGAGCAGGAGGGGTGGCTGGATGGAGGGGCCTTCCTCCCGCCCTCACAGCTGTTACAGGTTGTGATATGTTTCCCCCCAAATCCGCGTGTTGCAATCCCAGCCCCCAGGACCTCACAGTGTGACTGCGTTTGGAAACAGGGTCACTGCAGCTGTAGTCAGTTAAGATGAGAGGCCCCTGGAGCAGGCTGGGCCCCTGTCCAATAGAGCCGGTGTCCTTATAAAAAGGAGGAATTTGGACAAGACATACATATAGGAGAACACTGTGTCACCATCCAGACAACTGTCCACGAGCCAAGGAGGAAAGTCTGGAACACATCCTTCCCTCCCAGCCCTCGGAAGCAGCCAAACCTACGGACAGCCCCATCTCGGCCCGCAGCCCCCCGCGAGTGGGAGGGAGGCAGCTGCCCGGTTCATGCTGCTTTGTTCTGGGAGCCCTGGGAAACCAGCGCGAAAGCTCATTTGTAAAGTTCCACGGAGGAGCCAGAGCGCTCTCAACAGGTGTGAGTCGTGCCCCAGAAGGCAGAGGGGGCAGAGCTGGGTGCTTTTGCCCCAAAACGGGGCCACGGGGCCCTGGGGCACCTGGGACCTCTCCCTCGCTTCTCGGGACACTTTCTAAGAACCACCTATGGAGAGGACCCTTTGTGTCCTGGAGGAGGTGTGTGTGTGTACCAACAGACTGCAAATAAGCACAGAAAACCAAGCAGTTCCCACTCTACGCACGTCTGGAACTCTAAACAGAAGGTCCCAAGGATTAGACAATAATTTGGTGCATACTCGTAACTTTCTACCTCTGCAAAATTACCAGTTGGGGGAAAAATCTATGTATCTGAAAAAAAAAGGTTTAACGTATTCACTTAGCCATTTTTATATTTTTATATTATGCTTAAAAAATGCATCTGTAGAGCACAATCTTTAAAACAAATGGAATCAAACCAAGATTTCTTTGTTCGCTGAACGCATTCTGAACGAGGGCCGTGAGGACATTCACAGCTTTGTGGCAATTCTGCAAAACTCGGTTTACTCTGATGACTCGATAAAACTCCGCACCCTTATCTCCAGACATTCTGATTTTTCTGTAATCTGACACACGCTTTGCTGGGTCAAGGTAGAAGCATGGCTTCCTTTTTGTTTCTCTCCCCGCGGCAGCCAACACCTAACAGGCAGTCAGGAGGTGAACACAAAGGTGAGGCTGTGCACTTAATTTGCTTTGTGTAGCACTGACATGGCACACAGGGGCATTGCTCCTGTCATTCAGTCATTCAGCCATGCATTCATTCATGCAACTGACTTGGTCTTCCCACCACTCTGGATGGTGAGGAATCCTACAGGCCAGAATAAGTCGGCGCCAGCCGCAGAGTACAGCAGGCTACTTCCCTATCCCGGGGACGTGGTCGCTGTATGTGCGCATGCGCCACCTCATTTCCGGTGCCTCGGGGCAAGCTCGAGAAGCCAGTTTCTTACGTGTTCTCTGAGGCCCTGGAAGGTGCAGGTTGGTGGTGACCTTACACTTGGGCCAGAGGGGAAGGCTGTAATAGAGAGACTGTCGTTTCCGGTTTATCGCTGTTGACTCAGATCACAACATTTGCTCCGACATCCTGACTGTCCCAATCAGATTTAGGCAAAGAAGAATCTGCGATGGAGTGAATTCAGCTGTGGGAAGGCAAAGCTCTCCGGGACCCCGCAGGCGGGAGGCTGGGTGACAGGCTGAGCAGAGAGGAAGGTTGCCAGATGTCGCGTATCCTCTTCCACCAAGGTGCGCGCAGTGCATGTGGCCTGCTTCCCTAGGCTGCACCCCCAGGACAAGCTGCAGGGAGACAGCGCCTGGGGAGTGGAAGCCAGCCAGAATCTAGACTTGAATGAGAACCTTGAGGGCAGAGCCTCCCGGATCCAGCTGTGCACACAGCAAATACACACTCATTGAAGAAACGGCTGGAGCCAACGCCGAGGACATTGGAACCATCCTTCCAACGGCCCAGGCCCTGTGTCGGGACATCTGTGTAGAAACGGGGCTCCTCCTATACAGTGCACTCGGCTTGCAGACCTAGAGTCAGGGGCAGGGCTGCTCTCACTCCATCCTGGGGCACCAAGTTACGAATCAATAGACTGTAGGCATCCTCCTAGCAACTTCAAAATCTAATGGAATAAAACAAAGGCTCTACAGAAAGCAATCCTGAGAAATAGCTGAAAATTATAAAGGTCACTCCACCGTGGCCCACGGGGACGAGTGTTTATTCTGCTTTGTCTTCTCAGAAACTCTCAGCCACCTTAAGAATCCTCTATACCCGGGCTGCGGCCTCTGCGGCTCAGCAAAGCCAGTTGCAGACAGTCGGGGCTGTGGCTTCTCCCAGGGGGGAGCAGCAGATGACCACTCGGATCTGCAGCAAGGCCCAGCCATCTGGGAGCTGACACCGCTGGGTAAGCCAAAGGGCATCCAGTACAGTCCAGGCATGTTCTTACAGCCCTGCTTGGAGAAGGCGTACAGCCACCCCCACGGCACGCGTGAGCAGCCTGTATGAGATGTCTCTGTACCCAGCATCCATCCCAGCTGTCCAGCATGGGCCGATTTGGACCCAGCATTGAGTGGCGTCTCTTCCATCCCCCACTGGTTTTGGGTGACAGCCCTCTGTCTGGTGACACTGTCCACTTAACACTAATGACCTGTATCAAACAGGAGAGAGCCATTGGCTCTGGGCTGGAGGTGAATTCACTGAACGACCTCACACTAATGGCTCCCATTTATTATTCTCTCTCTTTGCCAGGGGCTGTGCTTAATGTTCATTATGAGGGGACTTCCAAAAGGCCATGACAAATGCATACTAAAAAAATTATGCAGGGGCCGGAGCTGTGGAGTAGCGGGTAAAGACGTGCCTGCAGTGCCAGCATCCCACATGAGCGCAGGTTCGAGTCCCGGCTGCTCTACTTCCGATCCAGCTCTCTGTTATGGTCTGGGAAAGCAGTAGAAGATGGCCCAAATCCTTGGGTCCCTGCACCCGTGTGGAAGACCTGGAAGAAGCTCCTGGCTCCTGGCTTTGGATCAGCCCAGCTCCCGCCATTGTGGCCATTTGGGTAGTGAACCATCAGATAGAAAACATCTCTCTCTCTCTCTCTCTCTCTGTCTCTCTCTCTCTCTGCCTCTGCCTGTCTGTAACTTTGCCTTTCAAATAAATATTTTTTTTAAAAGAGCAATGCATGAATTTCAAATTTCTTGTACCACAAAAAATAAATGTATCTTTTGCTTGTCTTTTCCCATGAGCTTTCGAAGTCCCCTCCTGTCTCACAACAACATGATGAGGCTGTGAGTGTCTTTATTTGACAGATAGGGACACTGACACACAAGGAGGTTGAGAAATCTGCCCACGGTCACACAGCCAGGAAGGGAGGTGGCCAGGACTCAACTCCCATTTGGTTCTGAATCCAAGTCCCAAGCCGACTGTTCTGCAGAGCCCCAGGGCAGACAGCGCCCCTAAAAGTGCACACTCTGGGGTGGTGTCCGTGCCCCGCTCTGTCGCCGACGAAGGCCAGCACAATCCATCAAGTCATGTGAAGCGGCTCCGCGGGGAACGGAACGGCTGGGAACACCGGCGAGCAGGGCCCCCCAGGACTGTCTGTCTGCAGTTAGACTAAGCCCTACCCTATAAATCTTGTCCAGGAAAAAGAACACAACCTGGGCTGTGCAGGGGTAGAATTACTCCAGCTGCCGGCCCCCCTGCTCGCAGGCTCCTGGAGATCAGAGGCGTGGCCCAGCCTCCGCTTGCAGCCACCCTTCTCAGGTTTCCCAGGAGGCCAGGTTTGCTGGGAGCTGGCAGGGCGAGCCTGGAGACCACGTTTCGTGCCCATGTGGCTCCTGAGAGAAGGGGAGGGTGGCAGACTGCATAATGAGCTGGGCTGCCTTCCACCTCTGATAAGATTGGGGGCCTCTGTCTCTGGCCCATTATCAACACCGCTCAGGCGGGAAGAGGGGCCAGCACCATTCTTGGCATCAGAAGAGGCGAGGGACTCCCTGTGGGTATAGGAGTGAAGGCACTGCCAAAGCTGCAGGCCCTTATGAGATGGCCGGGTCCCACTCCTGGTGACCCAGGGGGCTCAGCCCCAACTTACACTTCAGACTCCTGCCATCTCTCTCTCCCTCTCTCCCTCTCACTTGCAATATCATCGGGTTTACTAAAACACGGGTAGTGTGCAATACATACCGCAGTTTCATAAATCCGCCTGTGAGATCCAGTGGCATGCTAGAAAATCTTAAGGAGTGTGCATCGGCTTCCATTACTGCTCGCCTCCGAGCGGTTCCTCTAACCCTGACCAGCGGGAACCCTCCCAGAGAGACAGTCCCGACTCCGCAGAAGAACCCAAGCGCTCCCTCCACTGCAGGGACATGATCAGCATCGCACCCCTAAACGTGCAAGCTGGCCGCTGGAATTCACGCGCCCTGCACTGTTGCTGTAAGACACAAGTTTTCATCCCGGTGAGCAGTGACTGCGCTGGTCCCAGCTGGACTGCTTGCCCTCCCCGCAGCAACCGCGCTCTCCCGGGTCCACAGCGCCCCCTGGTGCTAAGCACTGAGGGCTGCATCCTCCGTGCTCCACGTGCTGCCCTTCCGGTCCCCAGTGCTCCTCCCCACCGCCCCTTTGTCTTTAAGAATACAGGAAATAAGTATACAGAATTAGTGGATTCCACCGTGGACACTCCCAGCTGAGTTCTCACTCATCTCTTGCTGCCTCTCGTTCTCTTGCCACTCGTAGGAATTTTCTGCAAGAAAAATCTCAGTTCATTTCCTAACCCTCTTTCCCTTCCATTTGGGAGCCAACCAACCACGGAAAGTAGGGGTGCACCATGTAACGGAGGTGCTGGTGACGTACGTGCACTAAGGACAATGGCCACACGACACTCCGCTCTGCTCCCTTTCGGCAGCTCTGGGATGTTCCCGGAATGTCTTTCCATCTCAGTGATGGCTGTAACTACGTCCTTTGAATCCTCCAGTGACACCTGCCTTCCTCAAGCTCCGGTATTCCAGACGAACTGTTAAAACACTACTTTAGTCAATGCGATTGTTCTTTCTGTTGACTTCCTTCGCAAGAGCCTGATGGCCATTACTTTTCCATGTGCAATTTATCTAGAGTGGGCTCAGGGTGTCTGTAGCCAGGTCTACTGGGTGCACTGGCCACCATATACTCATAAGGCTGCGGTCTGACCATGCAGCATTCTCCACACGGCCCGTGCCTCACTCCCTATCCTACCACTGTCATGGAACAAAGCTGTGCAGGGTGCAGCCAGCTCCACACAGACACCCCGGATTCCCCCACAGCTGCCTCAAGACGTCTCTCCCTGATGCTGAAGTGTGAGACGCCTGCTAGAACCATCTCACGTACGTCACCTGGAAGTACAGGAGAGTCAGCCCCTCCAGAAGCACAGGCTGGGAGGTATCAATGCATCCCTGCATCCCCTTCTAGGTGGAGGGGCCCGAGACCAACTCTGCAAGATTCTCCAGGGAGCCCCCAGGAGCCAGCACCCAGTGAGCCTTGGTGGTCCCCAACTGTGAAGGAAAAGCTGCTCCTTGCTCATTTAGGAGACAAAAGTCAGGTTTTTGCCCCATCAACAGAAGCACAACCACACAGAACTAGCACAAGGTCACAGAAAATGACTCCGGCTGGCACCACGGCTCAGTAGGCTAATCCACCACCTGTGGCACTGGCACCCCGGGTTCTAGTCCCGGTTGGGGCACCAGTTCTGTCCCGGTTGCTCCTCCTCCAGTCCAGCTCTCTGCTGTGGCCCCGGAGTGCAGTGGAGGATGGCCCAAGTGCTTGGGCCCTGCACCCACATGGGAGACCAGGAGAAGCACCTGGCTCCTGGCTTTGGATCGGTGCAGCACTGGCCATAGCGGCCATATGGGGGGTGAACCAACGGAAGGAAGACCTTTCTCTCCATCTCTCTCTAACTCTGCCTGTCAAAAAAAGAAAAAAAGAAAAAGAAAAATGACTTCGACATGCGTTTTCAATTTCTCATGCTGCTAGACACGAGGACATCTCTCACGGTGTGGGGAGAAGAGACCGTATCTATTCTGAGTTGGCCCAGATTATTTGTGCTTTCATGGCCTGGATCTGCATCCAGAAATGTGTCTATCAACATTGCTGCAAACATAGTTTTGTAAAACTTTGTTTTATACCTTTGTGAAAACAATCGTTAGGAATGTTTTTTTAAGATTTTTTATTTGAAAGACAGAGTTACAGAGAGCAGCAGAGAGAGAGGTCTTCCATCCGCTGGTTCACTCCCCAGATGGCTGCAACGGCTGGAGCTGCGCAGATCCGAAGCCAGGAGCCAGGAGCTTCTTCCAGGTCTCCCACGTGGGTACAGTCCTACATAGGTGTTGGCACAACTGTTGAGAAGGCTTAGTCCCTGCCAGAATTCTCCGGAAAGTGCCTTCCTCTGTTTGCGATGCCATGAAGCGTCTCCCACTATAGCCTAAGCCATCCTGATGAGCTCTGAACCTGCCGTTGAGCTGTCGAAAACCCAGTGAGGTCGATTCTCTGCCTTTTGCAGATAAAGTCACTTCCTGACTGGGTGTGGACTGAAACAGGGTCCCACCTGCTCCGAGTAGACACAGGTTGTCCCCCGGCTTCTCCCACTCAGAACCTCCTCCCAGCAGCACTGCAGCTTCCCAGTGCAGCTACTTTTCCCTGGGGCCATGCGCTGATGGGGCGTGGTTGTGTGCCCGGACTCCACAGCCGGTGAGCCTGCCTTGGTGGCAAGAGTGGGATGGAGCAGAAGGGAATCAGAAGGGAACAGCCCTGCAGCCGTCACTGCGTCTCCCCTGGAGCAAGGAGAAAAAACAAACGCTGGCTCGGCCTGAACCACATCCAAGCATTCTAGAAAGAGTGTGAATGGCAAATTACTTTAAGAAGAGAAAAACCCAACCACCAAGCTTTGGTTGAGGTCCCAGCCTGGAGAAGGCAGGAGGCTGGGCCTCCCATCGTCCCCTCTCACTTCTGGAAAGCTCAGCCCAGGGCTCTAGGGGAGACAGTGATCCCCCTGCTTGGGGGCGGGTGGGGGTGGGCAGGCTGATCCACTTGTAGCTCCACAGTGCCACCTGGAGGCAGAGGTGCACTAAACACTCAGAAGGACAGAACATGCCTGGTGGCAAAGCCCTGTCCCGGGTCCCCACATTTCATTCATTTGCTCTAAGGAGGCCTGAGAGGCCCCGGTCTTGTACCGCAATCCCTGGACAGGCGTGAGCAGGACCAGGGCCCTTCACTCACCAGGGCCCAATAGCAAAACGGACACAGAGAGAGGTCAATGTGTTCGAGTTTTGTTCTCCACATTTCATCTCACTAGATAACTTTGTAACTTACAGACGCTCAGAACTCAAGGGGGGAAGGTTTATTTTTCTGAACTAAGTCAACATAGAACAAACGGGAAACCCACACTTGTCGACTCAAATTCTACTACTGCCCTTGATTCTTCCTTTGACGATGTCACTCTGTCCCAGACAAAGATTGTGACTTGTAAGTCCCCAGCCTAATTACGGGTGGCTTGGAGAACACGATTTTGAGCTCCTGGTTCCTAAAGAGTTTTAAGACTCCTTTTATGTTATTTAATTAATGTATTTATTTTAAAGGCAGAGTGAGAGAGAGAGGAAGAGAGAACACCACCTGCTGGGCGAGACTGGAACAGCCTGCAGGCCTCAGTCTCTGGGAGGGAGACTCAATCTCTACTCTTGTTCTATGGCCCAAGATGGAGAGCCAAAGCAGAGGTGAGCACAGGAAACCAGACAGAGCCCCGTATTCCAACACTCAGGTGTGAGGTGGTGCCTGGGCACGCAACAGAACCGGGTCTCCATCAATGCCCTGTGACAGGAGTTTAAACAGAAAATTTCCGAGTTCTCACCACTTATCGTCACAGCCATTAGAGCCATCCATCAAGCATCGTTGTCCTCCATGTTCTGAGGGCATGGGAGGATTTCACTTCCTAACCCTCCCTGCCTCTCGTGCGATGGGAACAGGTGGCTGGTTACTGCTAGGAGACCTTTGTCCTCATGCCCAGAGTGGCAACAACCAGAGACAGCCGCTGCCTTACCAGCCTGAGTCCCTTAGACGGACAGTGCTCCCTTGAAACCCGGAGTAGCTGGGTGGCTGGAGGAACGGGGAAGCCTGTGTTCTGAGCCTCTGGACTTCGGAGCCGTGTGACAGTGGCATGAGCTGGTCTGAAGGCAGTCACCGGGGCCGCCCATCCGAGTTGTCCAGGAGCTTTACAAAGTCCTGGTGCCCGGCTTCCACCCCATCTTCCATTCTAACATCACAGGCGTGGGTGGGCAGGGAACTATGATATTCTGAAAAAATTAGCCTTTTAAGATTTTATTTATTTATTTGACAGGTAAAATTACAGACAGTGAGAGAGAGAGAGAGAGAGAGAGAGAGAGAGTAAGGTCCTCCCTCCGTTGGCTCACTCCCCAAATGGCCACAACAGCCAGAGCTGCGCCAATCCGAAGCCAGGAACCAGGTGCTTCCTCCTGGTCTCCCATGGGGTGCAGGGCCCAAGCACTTGGGCCATCTTCCACTGCCCTCCCGAGCCACAGCAGAGAGCTGGCCTGGAAGAGGGGCAACCGGGACTAGAACCAGCGCCCATATGGGATGCTGGCACCACAGGCGGAGGATTAACCCAGTACACCATGGCGCCAGCCCTAAGCCTTTGGTTTTAAAATATTTGTAGCTGTATGGGAAAGTCGACACAGTCACAGGTGTTCACATTCTCCTCACCCCAGCGCTACATCTTACATCACCATGGTCGCTTCTTCCCAACTACTGAACCAACACTGATGCGTCATCACCGGCAAAGGCTCACTCCTCAGTCAGATGTCCCACGCCTGGTAGCCCTGGCCTGTCCCGGGATCCCACATGACATTTACCCGTCATGGCTTCTGAGGCTCCTCTTGGCTGCAACAGTTTCTCAGACGTTCCTTGTTTTTGATGACCTTGGTTTTGAGGAGTCCTGGGCAGGTGTTTTGTAGACTGTCCTTCATTTGCGGTTGGTAAAAATTGATGTTTTTCTCATGGTTGTCCTGAGGCTATGGAACTGGGGGAGGGGATATCCCAAGGGCAGGTCTATCGCTTGACATCACTGCTGATGCTGGCCTTGATCACCTGACTGCGGTTGGCTGCTCAGTTTTCCCCACTGTCAAGTGGCTCCTTCTTCCCCTTCTCGCAGTAGACCCTCTGAAAGTCACAAAACACAGCCCATGCCTGAGGGATGAGAGTTGTGATCCACCTCCTTGAGGGAGGAGTGTCTACGTAAATGTTTTCTCTATTAGTCAGCTTTTCATTACTATAGCAAACTACCAGAAGCAGTCTACTACTATAAGACAAAGAGGTTCAAGGCTCACGGTTGTGGAGGTTCACAGGCCAAGACTGGGTGGGTCCCATTGGTTTGGTGTTTAGCGATGTCATTCTTGCTGACAGCACAGAGCACCATGTGACAAGACACAGAGACTGCTTTTTTTTTTTTTTCCTCATTTGTGTGGTCTCTAACAGAGCCAACAGGATTCAATCATGGGGCTCCAACCTAATGACCCAATCCAAACTATTCATGACCCAAAAGGGCCCATCTCTAAACACGTAATTGGATGAAGCTTCCCGTCTCAGTACCATTAACACAGGGTGGGGAATCTTTTTTTCTGCCAAGGGCCCTTTGGAGATTTACAACATCATTCATGAGCCATAGGAAATTATTGACTTAAGAATTAGCCTTCGGGGGCCAGCATGGTGGTACCAACAGGCTAAGCTGCTGCCTGCTATACTGGCATCCCATATGAGCACAGGCTGGCATCCCGGCTGCTTTGCTTCCAGTCCAGCTCCCTGCTAATGCACCTGGGAAGGCAGCAGCCGATGGCCCAAGGGCTTGGGCCCCTGCCACCCATGCAGGAGACCAGGGTGCTATTCCAGGCTTCTGGCTTCAGCCTGGCCCAGCATCAGCCATTGTGATGGTTTAGGCAGTGAACCAAAGGATGGAGTCAATTAATAACTAACTCCACTTTACAAAGAATAAATCTTTAAAAAACAAACTAGCCTGCTACAGACTTATTGAATTTTGAGCCCCACCCGTAGCTGCCAGACCAAATAATTTCACAAGACTTTAGGGCCTGCAGATCAGTACTTCCCTACCCCCTGCATTTGGAAACTAAACCTCTGAGTTGTGGAGACACACATTCAGACCATAACAGTTCTATAGAGGAAATTTTTATGAGTCTCTCCCATTTATTTGCTTACCCAATCATTTATTTACATCAGTGTGGACACACGGATATTTATTTTATGCACCGGGTTCCAGGCCAGGACTTTGGCCATTGCTCAGACTGTCCCAGTTCGGGCCAGTGGGAGCTCTTTCAGTTGGCCCCTATCTTGAGTTTGTGGAATACATCCTTCTTCTCTGGGAATACAGGGTGCCCCAGGCTTACCTCGTATCTGTCCTGCTCCAGTCCTAGAGTCCAGCATTTGTGCAAGGAAGCCTGGCTCCTGCTGCTGGAGGACAACATTCGAGGACAAGCTCTTGGTCAAGTGCTTGGTTGGCTATGGGGATTTTTTTCATTCTAATGTGCAGCCAAGTTTGGGAACTCAGGCGCTCTTAGCCCTGACTGCACATGAGGAGTACCCTGAGTGTCAGCCGCAGTGTGGCAGGTGCTTTGTCACGTCATGGAATATATGGCTCCATGAGGCTTCCCCTTCCAGCACACCACTGCGTATCATAATTATTTACCAGATAAGAGAACGCACACACACATCTTCACACACATTCAGCCGACTCTGAAGCAACTTCCAAGCTCTCTTTCTACCAGTGCTGACTGGAGTGTCAGTGTCTTAGCAGAATTTCAACTCACGCACCAACTCTTCTCACAGCTTAGTCTTCTCTCCATAGCCAGAGAGCACAGGAGGTAGAGAATTGACTCTCTCAAGGCATCAACTCGGGATACAGCCCAAGGCCCCTGAGATCAAGACACTGAGGTAACTTTTTTTTTTTTTTCTGCAACCAGGAAATTTGAAGTATGTGGTGTGTGTATGTGTGTGTGTGTGTGAGAGAGAGAGAGAGAGAGAATAGGTGTGACTGAGCATGTGCCTGTGTGTGTGTCCATGTAACTGTGCAGGTGAGTCGCTGTGTGTGAACAGAAGCGGGCGATGGTGGTGTGTGAGCTTGGGAGTGGGAGTATGTATGCGGTCTGTGAGTCAATGTGTAAAAGGGAGTGTGTCTGTGGGTTTGATGTGTATCTCAGGGTGTGAATGGTTTGTGTGTGTGATGTGTGAACTGGAGTGTGTGAGGATGTGTGAATGAATGTGAGTGTAGGCGTGTGTGTGTGTGTGTGAACAGGAGGGTATGTGAGTTTGGGGTGGGAAGAGGTCAGCTCCAGTCCCTCCTCAGCCTTAGACACAAGACCCATGAATTGCTTCTCTTTCTCACCTTACCTTGAGCCTGCCAGCCAATGCCTCCATTCTAAGCTCTCATGAAGAGAACAGAGTCTTGGGGACCGGGGCTCCACGCTTGGCACCAGGCCAAGCCTCGTCTCTCTCTGCCTCCTGCAAGCCTGGGTGCAGCACAAAACAGACAAATCTCTCCTTTTTTCATCATCACCAGCAGTAGCGCCTCAAGCTTGCAAATCGCTGAGTTAGCTCACCACCTTCCTTGGCTGTTTTCTCATCTCACACCAACACTAGTCAATTCTCCCTTCAGAGGCAAAGCAGATTCATGGGATGGCCTAGGTAAGCAGATGCAGGTGCCCCAGAGAGAAGTCCAGACTCCTGTGGCCTGTCAGTCACACCACAGCGTGGTCCTGGGCAGGGCTTGGTACCCAGAGCATGTGGCCTTGACCATGGGGCTGAAATGAGCAGGAGGGTGGGCCCTGGGCATCACTGAGGTGTCTGCAGGGTTCTGCCCTCTGCTGGCCTTTGCCCCTCCTTGGCTTTAGCAGCAGGCAAAGTGGCGGTGAACCTCTGGCCCTGCTGTCCTTCATGGCTGCCGGCACTGAGCCCATAGCAGACACAGCCTGGGGTGCAGAGGGCAAACTCCCCCTCTCCATCCCCCTCCAGCTGCCCACGTGCCCAGCGGCCCTAGCATCTTGGAATGAGTGCCCCTCGGGGACACAGAGAACTTTCTCAACAAGGTTCTTTTTCATCCCCTTGGAGGGGACTTGATGCAGACACAGAGCAAGGAGAGAGGGCTTCGGGCCCCAGGGTACTCCTCAGGCACCTGGAGCAGGTGGCCCCCTGGCGAGAAGGAGAAAGGGGAACTGAGAGTTGTGGGTGTGCATCAGGACACAGGACACACCACAAACCCACCAAGACTCCCTTGGCAAAAAGAAGAAAAACAACCCCAGGCTATTTTTTGTCCGAGTTATTCTAGTGATTTTGGTCGTCTTTGGGTTTTCTAGTCTGCATTACTCAAACAGTGACCCCAAGTGTGTATCCATTTTACCGATGAGAAAGTCCCTTCTCAAGGGAAAGTTTAGGGCTGAGGCCACCTTTTTTTTTTGTATACACTTTAAGTAGACTTTGGTTTTCAGCACAGACTTAAGTTCCAGCAAACTCGAGGGGAAAGTACAGAGATTTCTCACTCTCTCCCGCCCCTGAACACCCCACTGCCATGATCAACATTACTCACGAGACCGGTGCATTCATTGCAACTGATGGACCTATGCCAACTCGTTCTCCTCGCCAAAGGCACTAGGATGCTGGTAGACATTCTATGGGTTCAGACAAATCAATAATGCCATGAATGAATGCATCGCCCATTACAGTACCTCTCAGAGAAGTTCCACTGCCCTAACCTTCCCCTCCTCCCAGGTTGCCCCTAGCACTGGCCAACCACTGATGCATAACATCTCCCTAGTTTTACCTTTCCACAGCAGGTCCCATCACTGGACTCATGCACTCTCCTCTTCCAATTGGCTTCTTCCACTTGGCAATATGCATTGACAATTCCTCCGTGTCTTTTCACTACTTGATAGCTCATTTCTTCTTAGCACCAAATACTACTCCGTTGTCTGGATGTACCACAGTTTATTAATCCATTCACCTACTAAAAACACCTTGGTTGCTTCCAAGTTTTTGCAATTTTGAACAAAGCTGCTATGAACACCTACGTGCAGGGTTTTGTGTGGACGTGTTTTTTCAGTTCCTTTGGCTAACTATCAAGGAGTGCAAGTGCCAGACTGGACAGGAGGGGTTGGTCCAGCTTTAACAGAAACCACCAAACTGGTCTTTACAGCTTATATTCTCACCGCAGCAAGTGAGCGAGCCTGTTGCTCCATACCCTCGCCAGCACTTGGTGGTGTCTGTGTTCTGACGCTGGCCATCCCGATAGCCACATGGGGATAAAAGGTGTAACTCATCACTGTCTCACTTTGCAGTTCCCTGATAATATACAAAGGGCATAACCTTCTCTGCCACCCACACATAGATCTGCTCAGCCCTCTGTTTTCGGCCTTTTGCTAACTGCAAAATCGAGAGGTTGGCCGGAGCTGTGTCTCACTAGGCTAATCCTCTGCCTGCGGCGCTGGTACTCCAAGTTCTAGTCCCGGTTGGGTTGCTAGATTCTCCCGGTTGCTCCTCTTCCAGTCCAGCTCTCTGCTGTGGCCTGCGAGTGCAGTAGAAGATGGCCCAAGTCCTTGGGCCCTGCACCTGCATGGGAGACCAGGAGGAAGCACCTGGCTCCTGGCTTCGGATCCATGCAGTGCACCGGCCATAGCAGCCATTTGGGGAGTGAACCAACGGAAGGAAGACCTTTCTCTCTGTCTCTCTCTCTCTAACTCTGTCAAAAACAAAAACAAAAACAAAAACAAAAACAAAAAAACAGACTGCAGGTATGCAGGGACTGTGTCTGGGCAGGCGAGGTGCCATCGGCTCCCCCTGCTGCCCTCAGCCCAGGGTCTCTCAAGATTTTCTCACCAGCAATGTCCTGCTTGCTTGGACCACTTCTACCAACAAGCTCCACCCCCACACCCCCAAATCCCTCGTGCACACACTGTCTCAGGAGAGGCCGTGTGAGACTGTGGTTGCATCCGCTCCGTTTGCCCAGGCACTCAGTGACAAGGTGACTGGGTGACTGCTGGGGCCATCTCAGATGACACCTCTTGTCCCGGCTTCATGGCAACAAATTCTCAGTCTGGACAATAACAGTGGTCACGTGACTTGGAGAAGAATGTCTGAGGGGCAACTCCAACTCCCTGGCCTCCTCCCTGTGGGGAAGGGTCAGGCTCACTTCCCTGCAGTTCTGGGAGAGCTAGGAAGCAGAGAAGGCGAGAGCGATCCTGGGCTGAACTGACTGCCCTGTCTGGGCCAAGACCTAACCCTTCATCCTGCAGCACCTCTGCGTGTCCCCATCCGGGGCCTCTCCTTCTTCGACCTCACAAGTCTACACTGAGCTTTTCTTCCCTTAGCACACCTGTTTGGAGACAGGCAGCATAGAGCCAGGCTCAGGGACACAGGGGACCACTTCCAAAAAATCGCAGAAAAATGGAATTAAAAGAAGTTTTATTTTGGCAAAAAATTTTACACCTGTGGGCCCAGTGTTGTCACGGAGTGGGTTAAATCATTGTCTGCAACACTGGCATCACTGATGGACAGCGGTTCGTGTCCTGGCTGCTCCATTTCCCATCCAGCTCCCTACTGATGGCCTGGGAAAGCAGCAGCAGATGGCCCAAGTGCTTGAGTCCTTGCCCCCATGTGGGAGACCTGGATGATGCTCCTTGCTTTGGCCTGGCCCAGTCCTGGCTGCTGTGGCCTCTGGGGAGTGAATCAGCAGGTGAAAGCTCCCCTCCCCTCCCGCATCCCCTCTCCCACCCAGGAGTGCTTCTCCTGTCTTCCTGGTCCCACCTCCTGCTTCCCCAGGACCTTTGCTTCACCTTCAGCCAGTTTTTCAGCCTCTCCCTCTTACTCAAGGGCTCCCCTGGGAACAGGCACATGATTGGTAGACCCTCTGCACACCATGGGCACAAAGAACCATCAATGGCCTCTGGAAAGACCCCCAGGGCAAGCAGAGGAATGCAAACTAAAACCACAACCACGCCCCCTGCAGGCACATCAGATCAATGACTGAGAGGAAGTGTCTCCCCAGGCCCAGCGCTGGGCAACATTGTTAATGACTGCAGCTTTGTTTAGCACAGGAAATGAAGAGAAGCTACATGTTCACAGAAAGAGGATGGGTCTGTAAGCCGAGATGCAGTCTCACAACGCAAGGACAAAGTTGGGAGCAGCCGGAAATAGCAGGAGGAGGATGCCTACCGGACACCAGGACACCTGGGTATGTCTGAGCCTGATGTGGATGAGCGCGCACCTTGGTGAAGGTTACACTCATGTGTTTTATTGAGGAGCAGCAAAGAGTGCAAAGGATGGACCCAAGTCTAAGAATAAAAGTGAGTGGCTGTGATGTCCTTTTTTTTTTTTTTTAACAGGCAGAGTGGACAGTGAGAGAGAGAGAGACAGAGAGAAAGGTCTTCCTTTGCCGTTGGTTCACCCTCCAATGGCTGCTGCGGCCGGCGCACCGCGCTGATCCGATGGCAGGAGCCAGGTACTTCCCCTGGTCTCCCATGTGGGTGCAGGGCCCAAGCACTTGGGCCATCCTCCACTGCACTCCCTGGCCACAGCAGAGAGCTGGCCTGGAAGAGGGGCAACCGGGACAGAATCCTGTGCCCCAACTGGGACTAGAACCCGGTGTGCCAGCGCCGCAAGGCGGAGGATTAGCCTAGTGAGCCGCAGCGCCGGCCTGTGATATCTTTTTACATCTTCCGTTCTAAGGAGCCCCACATCCAGGGGTCTCAACACCTTGCGCAGAACGGGGAACCTTCCAGACTACAGCAAGCCGGTTCTGAGGGCCCATTGCTGTGTGTGTGTGTGTGTGTATCCCTGTAATTTTTCATTTCTTAAAAGTAAATGTGGAGTGGGCATTTAGCCCAGCAGTTAAGATGCTGCTTAAGATACCCGTGTCCTACATCAGATTCCCAGCCCTGGCTCCCGATGCCAGCTTCCTGCTAATGCAAACCCTGGGAGATAGCAATGATGGTTCAAGTAGCTGGGTTCTTGCCTCCCACACATAAGATGTAGATTGAGGGGTGGGCACTGTGACGTAGCCGGTAAAGCCACTGCCTGCAGTGCCGGCATCCCATATGGGCACCGGTTCAAGTCCTGGCTGCTCCACTTCCAATTCTGCTCTCTGCTGTGGCCTGGGAAAGCAGTAGAGGATGGCCCAAGTGCATGGGCCCCTGAACCCACATGGGAGATCTGGAAGAAGCTCCTGGCTCCTGCATTCGGATCAGCGCAGCTCTGGCCGTTGCAGCCAATTGGGGAGTGAACCAGTGGGTGGAAGACTTCTCTCTCTCTGCCTCTCCTTCTCTCTCTGTGTAACTCTGACTTTCATATAAATAACTAAATCTTAAAAAAAAAAAAAAAAAAGATGTAGATTGAGTTTCCAGCTCCCGGCTTTGGCCTAAACCAGCTCAAGTGAACCAGACGAGAGCTCTCTCTCTCTCTCCCTCTCCCTCTTTTTGCCTCTGTCTCTCTCCTCCAAGTAAGATAATGATAATACTAGCAACTTCATTCCTTTCCCTTTGTGTTAAAAAAAAATCAATCTATAAAACATACGAATTGGGGCCGGTGCTGCGGCTCACTTGGTTAATCCTCCACCTGCGGCGCCAGCATCCCATATGGGTGCTAGGTTCTAGTCCTGGTTGCCCCTCTTCCAGTCCAGCTCTCTGCTGTGGCCCAGGAAGGCAGTGGAGGATGGCCCAAGTGCTTGGGCCCTGCACCTGCATGGGAGACCAGGAGGAAGCACCTGGCTCCTGGCTTCAGATGGGCACAGCGTCGGCCATAGCGGCCATTTGGGGGGTGAACCAACAGAAGGAAGACCTTTTCTCTGTCTCTTTCTCTCTCACTGTCTATGACTCTACCTGTAAAATTTTAAAAAATGAATCAAACATGGAAACATGTTAGGGTTTGGCAGGGTTGATGGTAGGGCCAGTGAGTTACCACTTCTGTACTTTCCTGTACTATGAGACAGTATTTTCAAAAACCTATCCCTGCCGGCACCATGGCTCACTAGGCTAATCCTCCGCCTGTAGCGCCGGCACCCCGGGGTTCTAGTCCTGGTTAGGGTGCCGGATTCTGTCCCGGTTGCCCCTCTTCCAGGCCAGCTCTCTGCTGTGGCCAGGGAGTGCAGTAGAGGATGGCCCAAGTACTTGGCCCTGCACCCGCATGGGAGACCAGGAGGAAGCACCTGGCTCCTGGCTTCAGATCGGCGCAGCGCCAGCCATAGCGGCCATTTGGGGGGTGAACCAATGGAAGGAAGACCTTTCTTTCTGTCTCTCTCTCACTGTCTAACTCTGTGTATCAAAAAATAAATAAATAAAAAAGCCAAAAACCTGTCCCTAGGTCCCGTCAACTTCCCATCTGTCTTCCCAGATAGAAATTAGGAACCAGGAGAACTTGCCAGATTCTGGAAGCTTTGCAAATAGGCCCCAGCTGTGCTCCCTGCGACCCGGCCTCTCCCCACAGGTGTTAGTAACGCAGTGTCTGCAGGCAGCAGAGCCCTCTGCACGAGGGGTCTTCAAAAGCCCCTGGGAAGCGTACGTCCCGGCCAGCCTCCCAGGCATCTCCACGTCCCTGTTGTGCCCACGTAAGCTGACCTTCGCATTCTTCCTTCCCATGAACTTCTTGAAGTCCCAGTATGCATTTTGGGGGTCAGAAAAGGAGGCTGAGTACCTGGGAGCCTACACGCACCTCTAAAGCCAGGCTTGGGGAATAGGTTCCCAGGGGTGAAGGAGGAAGACACAGAGAAGAACAGGGCGAGGCAGAGGGATCCAGGGCTGAGCACAGGCGTGGACACACAGGGCAGCATCCTGCGTGCTCCATCGTGCTGGGCGGGGGGGGGGGGCCCTCCTTCCTTCCACAGCTGGCCTCTGCTCTCCGCCTCCAGGGGCGCACGCCATCTCCCCTTTCCACACCGCCTCCTGGCGAAGCAGGGTGCAAGATGGAGGAAGTGCGAGCCAGGGCAGGTCACTAAACAGACACTGCAGCCCAGTTGGAGGAGGCTGGACCAAGGGCACGAGGCAGGCCCTGGGCCCCGTACAATATGAGCCCTTGCAGGGCCATGTGGTCAACTTCCACTGCTAGAAGAATGGACAGGTGCTGCTGCTCCGGGAGTCGTCAGAATCCAAATAGAGGCACTTGTGTCAAACCCTAATCAGCCAACTAAAACACCACCTCGAGTCTGGAGACAACCAGCAGGGCGTCCCACGCCAGCATACCAACAATGAGAACCAGCACAGGGGCTGCCAGAAGACACTGTGGCCAGGACGCCTGCCCAGCTACTGTCTGTCCAGCCCTGGGCCGACACTGCCCTTGGGACTGCACCTGTCACCCAAGATTGCCGTCTTCTGGAACCCTCCTCGCTCTCTCTGGCACAGCCTGGCCTCTGTGCGTGAGCACGGCAGAGTTTGCTCCATTGCATGCTGTGCTTTCTCGGTCCCCTGTTGGGTTTCTGCAGGTGCGCTGGGGTTTGTGACCGAGCTGGACACTGCCCGTGGCTTGGGAGGAACACGCGGCTCCAGCCTGCAGGCCCTGACTCCCGACGGCCCACCACGCGGCTGCTGCCTGTGCCCACCTCGGGAACTGTTCCTTTACCCAAATGAAAACACGGTACACGGTGAACAATGGAGCCAAAGCAGCCAGAAGTGGGAAGGGACACGTGAGCGGCTCAGAGTGCTGACTCCATACCTGACCAGCCTCCGCCACTCCTCGCTTTCCTAAGCTGGGGCTCTCCTTTCACGGCTGGTGGCAGCTACACAGAGCCTTTGATTGTGGGCTAAACACAGGAAAGCCCTTCCCTCAGCTTTCCTCCTCACCTTTGGAAGGCTGGCATTTGGGTTTTGTGCTTTTTTTTTTGACAGGCAGAGTTAGAGAGAGAGAGACAGAGAAAAAGGTCTTCCTTCCACTGGTTCACCCCCCAAATGGCTGCTGCTGCGGCTGGTGCACCATGCGGATCCGAAGCCGGGAGCCAGGTGCCTCCTCCTGGTCTCCCATGCGGGTGCAGGGCCCAAGCACTTGGGCCATCCTCCACTGCACTCCTGGGCCACAGCAGAGAGCTGGACTGGAAGAGGAGCAGCCGGGACAGAATCTGGACTGGGACTAGAACCCGGTGTGCCGGCACCGCAGGCAAGGATTAACCTAGTGAGCCGCGGCGCCGGCCAGGTTTTGTGCTTTTCCAAGGGAGAATTTCTTCCGTGGGGAAGACATCAGCGTGTTATTAACATTTAGTGCCAATGGGCACGTGCCTGCTGGCTGGGAAAAGGTCTTACTAAAAAGCAAAAATAAAGGGTGGCTGTTGGGGTGCAGTGGGTTAAGCCGCCACTAGGGGTTCCCACAGGCCACATGCCAGTGCCTGGAATCCAGTCTCAACTCTGCTCCGGATTCCAGTTTCAGGCTGATGCACACCCTGCCAGGCAGCAGATGATGGCTCAAGTAGTTGGGCTCCTGCTACCTACGTGGGAAACCTGGATGCAGCGCCTGGCTGCTGGATTTGGACTGACCCAGCCCTGGCTGATGCAGCCATTTAGAAACTGAACCAGCAGATGGAAGACTCTCTCTTTGCATTTCAAATACATAAAAATAAATACACCTAAAAACATAAGCAAACAAAACCCCAAATTGACCACTGCACTGCCAACCAGCTGGATCTAGGTTCCAGTGATATGTGGAGAGTTTGAAGTGAAATGGGTGTTAACTTTAAAATCCAGATTCCGAAGATTAAAACAAATCAGGGCTGGCGCCGTGGCTCACTAGGCTAATCCTCCGCTTTGTGGCGCCGGCACACTGGGTTCTAGTCCCGGTCGGGGCACAGGATTCTGTCCCGGTTGCCCCTCTTCCAGGCCAGCTCTCTGCTGTGGCCAGGGAGTGCAGTGGAGGATGGCCCAAGTGCTTGGGCCCTGCACCCGCATGGGAGACCAGGAGAAGTACCTGGCTCCTGCCATCGGATCAGCGCGGTGCACTGGCCGCAGCGCGGCGGCCGCAGCAGCCATTGGAGGGTGAACCAATGGCAAAAGGAAGACCTTTCTCTCTCTCTATCTCTCACTGTCCACTCTGCCTGTCCAAAAAAAAAAAAAAAAAAATCAGGTAGCTTAATAATAACGGTTATAAGGCTTACATGTTGAAATATCTATCATCTTAGATGTTAAATAAAATCTATTGCTAGAATTACCTTCACCTGTATTTTTTTGACTTTTAGCAATAGGGCTACCAGCACTAATAATGGGACTAGCATGTGTGGCTAACATTGCTCAAGTGTTGAGAATGCTCCTCTCTCTGAGGGTACTTTAAAAAGTTCATGGAGAGGCCAGTGCTGTGCCGTAGTGGGCAAAGCCTCTGCCTGTGGCACCAGCATCCCATATGGGTGCCGGCTGCTGCTCTTCTCATCCAGCTCTCTCTGCTTATGGCCTGGGAAAGCACTGGAAGACAGCCCAAGTGCATGAGCCCCTGAACCCACACGGGAGACCCAGAGGAGGCTCCGGGCTTCTGGCTGGAGATCGGCTCAGCTCCGTCCATTGCGGCCACCTGGGGAGTGAACCAGAGGTTGGAAGACCTCTGTCTCTGTCTCTCTCTCTATAACTCTGCCTCTCAAATAATTAAAATATTAACAAAAAATTCATGGAAAATGAGGTTAAAAGATAAGTTGATTCTTCCATGAACTTTTAAAATTACTCTTGTATGTATTAAGGAATCAAGGTTTTAAAACAAACAAAAACACCCAAAGTAACCACCAAACCGAACGCACTGCCTCGGTACATGGATATCCCAGCGCTGGTGGCAGCTGCTGCCCTGGGAGCCGGCGGTAAGAGGCGCGGTGCTGCATGAATTTAACCACCACAGAGCTGAGAAAGGCACTGCTGTAAGCATCCGCCCAGCCCAGGTGAATGGCTCCCACAGCCCCGCCCACCCCAGGTGCGCGCTGAGTCCTGGCCCAAGGCGGAGTGCGTGTGGTGCGTGCGTGCGTGTGCGCACGAGGCGCGGTGCACAAGCGCCTGCCCTCCTCCTCCAGGCCCGTCGCCCCAGAGACACAGGTGTGTGCCCGGCTGTGCAGGGGCCCCGGGACCCCGTGGCCATCACCCTCCCAACCTCCCTGTGAGCCAACTCTCCCGGCCTCTCCCACTTTCCCCTGGGCCTTCCAGCTCTGGGCACTCTCTGGAACGCGAAGTTGCTTGCTTCTGCTAGGATTCAGCACCTACTTTTGCCGTGGGGCCCTGCCAGGCTCCGCCCCGTTCCTGTGCGTGGCCCCCAGACCCATCCGAGGCAGCTGAGTCTACAGAAGCGAATTCTCACGCTCCAGGCCCTGCCAACCTCTAGGAACGCCACCCCTTTCCCACAATGCATCACGGCAGCCAATTGATTGGACAGGACCCACTGCAAGGACAACGTGCTTGATGCAATCTAGCGCTTTCTGTGTTAAGCATCCAGAAATACCCTCACAGACACACCCAGAATAACAGCTGGCTAAACATCTGGGCCCCGGTCAGGCTGACACGTCGCTCCTTGCAGGGATGGGCGTGGAGGGGACGAATCTGCAGGCCCCCAATCCCTAGGGGCAGCACAGCTTGCTCTGCATCCCTCCGTGGGCCATTTGGCCTCTGCATGCCGTGTCCTCTTCCCCCCAGGAGGGCTGTGGCAGCAACAGCAACCCCCCACCCCGGGGAGCACAGGCATCGGGCTCAGGGCTGTCCCTGGTACACGGGGCCAGCGTTGGTAGCCTTGTAGTGTGGTTAGGGCCGTGACCAGAGCAGCCAGGAGAAATCAGAACAGGAAAAGAATGAGAGGTAAACAGGGCTTACCCAAGGCTCCGGATTAAGCCCTGCATCACGCCCGTGCCTTTGCGGCTTATTTTTCTTTCATTGCATTTTGGCTTTGGGATTTAGGACCTTTGGAAGCGAGCGGCTGACCAGACTGCAGAACCGGGGACAAAATGTACTTCTCGGGGTCTACCCACACACGCGTGGGTCAGACACGCAGGAGGCCAGCAGCCCCGCCCGTGTCGGGGGGCTTCCCAGCCCCGTGCTGACCCAGGAAGGCGGAGTCCAGCTCAGCTCCTCGCTCTCTAATCCGAGCTCTCAGGCGGAGCGCTTCAGGTGATGTGCGCAGCAGCACAGGGAGCCAAAGCTGAGAACAGTCACCGACCGCCAGAAAAACCAAAGCAGGGACCACGGCCATGGCGGCCTTGCCTACATCAGTGGCCTTGGGTCCGCTGTGTATGTATTGAGCACCAACTGTAAACAGGGTATGGGGGCGGGAGACCTCCGTCTCTTTGCTCAGGGTTCATCCTGTTTGCACAGGGCGTGCCCACCACTGGGGCTGAGGCTGAGGGGCAGTCACACACTGGTGCCGCAGAGGGTGTTAACGCCAAAGGGTGCAGGTGTGTGGCACCGTCAGGGGAGAAATGGAGGGCGGGGCTGGAAGAAGGAGCCACCCCCACCCCCAAGGCCCCCCAGGTTGAGGATTTCACAAAGTGGCCAAGTTTCGGGAAGACTTGGGGAGGCAGTCATGGGGTTGCTAGATCTTTTTTTTTTTTTTTTTTTTTTTGACAGGCAGAGTGGACAGTGAGAGAGAGAGACAGAGAGAGAAAGGTCTTCCTTTGCCGTTGGTTCACCCTCCAATGGCCGCCGCTGCAGCCGGCGCACCGCGCTGATCCGATGGCAGGAGCCAGGATCCAGGTGCTTTTCCTGGTCTCCCATGGGGTGCAGGGCCCAAGCACCTGGGCCATCCTCCACTGCACTCCCTGGCCATAGCAGAGAGCTGGCCTGGAAGAGGGGCAACCGGGACAGAATCCGGCGCCCCAACCGGGACTAGAGGGGTTGCTAGATCTTTATTTCACCAAGTAAGGGTGTTAAAAAAGCGACCACGAGGGTCAGCCATACTTCGGGAGAGAAATGATATCATCAGTCCCAAAACTTCCCAAGACTTGCCTAAAACGAGTAAACAAATCTCTCCTTAGGAAAGCATACAGACAATGGGTTTTCAAAGAGTTTGTGGAAAACACATGCTATTAAAAACTGCATGGATTTCAAAATCTGTACCAGAATAAACTAATCTTTCACTTCATTTTCCCAAGAACTTCTTTTTTTTTTTTTTTTTTTTTTTTTTTTTTGACAGGCAGAGTGGACAGTGAGAGAGAGACAGAGAGAAAGGTCTTCCTTTTGCCGTTGGTTCACCCTCCAATGGCCGCCGCTGCAGCCGGCGCACCGCGCTGATCCTGGCAGGAGCCAGGAGCCAGGTGCTTTTCCTGGTCTCCCATGGGGTGCAGGGCCCAAGCACCTGGGCCATCCTCCACTGCACTCCCTGGCCATAGCAGAGAGCTGGCCTGGAAGAGGGGCGACCGGGACAGAATCCGGCGCCCCAACCGGGACTAGAACCCGGTGTGCCGGCGCCGCAAGGTGGAGGATTAGCCTATTGAGCCACGGCGCCGGCCCCAAGAACTTCTTGAAGTGCCTCCAGGTGTACAGACACAAAACACATATGTTGTCTTATATATTACATAACATACTATGATATAGAGTATCAAATGCTGTATGATTTTATATATAGTATCTATTGGTGTGATACATACACTATACTTTATATTTATTAAATATAACTAAGTTAATGTTTTCCCATTTACTCTGCACTAAGCACCCCGGCATCTGGGAAAGTTGCAAGGACACTTGGCAGCCCTGGGACGTATTTTCACTTCATTCATGGTTTGCACAAGCTGCTGCAGCATTGAGTAGCTGTGCTGGGAACACTTCCCGTGGAAGCTGTGATTGGGCTCAGGCGCCCTGAACACCTGCGACGGGCAAGGCTTGGTCACTCCCACCTGCACCTGCGCACACCCAGCCATCTTGAAGGGGGTATCTGGCCAGACTCCTATAAACCAGAGCGCGCTGGGCATACACAGCCGCACTTCCCTGTGATGTGCACACAAGGACTCTGCTTTGGAGTGGATCATGGGTCATTTCGTCAGCTGCCCCAATGAAATGAAAAGTCAACCACCTAACTCGGGGTGGTGCTGTGCTCCACTTCCAAGAGCACGGGACAAAATATGGACATCAGACGCACAACATGGGGACCATGCTGTAGCTTAGCAGGTAAAGCCGCCACCTGCAGTGCCGGCATCCCATATGGCCTCTGGTTCGATTCCCGGCTGCTCCACTCCCAATCCAGCTCTCTGCCATGGCCTGGGAAAGCAGTAGAAGATGGCCCAAGTCCTTGGGCCCCTGCACCCACAAAGGAGACCAGGAAGAAGCCCCTGGCTCTGGATAGGCTCAGCTCTGGCTGTTGTGGCCAACTGGGGAGTGAACCAGCAGATGGAAGATCTCTCTCTCTCTGTCTCTCTCTCTCTGCCTCTCTGTAACTCTGCCTTTCAAATAAATAAACAAATCTTTAAAAAAAAAAAAAAAGGCAGCACAACTTGAATTGGGATGGACAGAGCATCTTGAAAGGACCCAGCGTGCGTGGATGGGAGTTTGTTCCTGGCTCCTTGGCTATGCCCAAGGCTGGATGCCTGTCCCTGTGTTAGCAGGTCACAGCTGTGGTGGTGTGGAGAGGGGAACCACATCAGAGCTGATTGCCTTATTGATTTTTTTTCTAAAGATTCTCATTTCCAAGTAAGAGTTACAGAGAGAGTGGGGGAGACACAGAGATCTTCCATCTACTGACTCACTCCCCAACAGCTGCAACAGCCAGGGCTGGGCCAGGCTGAAGCCAGGAGCTTCATCCAGGTCTCCGAGGGTGGTAGGGGCCCATGTACTTGGGCTATCCTCTGCTGCCTTCCCAGACGAATTAGCAGGGAGCTGGATGGGAAGTGGAGCAGCCGGGACTCAAGCGACACGCATGTGGAATGCCGGCATTAGAGAGCAATCGCTTCACCTGCTATGCCACAGTGCCGGCCCTGACACCGCTGTTTTCATACCGTCTCTGCCTGGCAGGATAGAATAAAATGGCAGATGGAGTGCACCTGGGGTATCTGCCCACGGCGTGGGTCATGGCCGGGCCGTCAAGGCGTGCCCTGTGCAGCACAAGTGCCCTCCCCTCTGCGCCACCTCTTGGTTCTGTCTGTGAGCCTACTTTGCACCACTGTGGCAGGTACACACGTCCCAGTAGGAAGCCCTCCTGAAGGCTGGCCATGGTCAACACTCACAGACCTGGTGTGGTGCACAAGAGGTGTGCCCACTTTATCCATCTGGGGCTGGCCCAGGGAACATGAGAGGCCCTGTTCCCTCTGCTTCTGGGCTGACACAGACCTCGAGGGTCCAAGGAGACTCCACGATCCACAAAGTTTTTTAAGATCCTCCTATGCGGGTCGGCGCCGCGGCTCACTAGGCTAATCCTCCGCCTTGCAGCACCGGCACACCGGGTTCTAGTCCCAGTCGGGGCGCCGGATTCTGTCCCGGTTGCCCCTCTTCCAGGCCAGCTCTCTGCTGTGGCCCGGGAGTGCAGTGGAGGATGGCCCAAGTGCTTGGGCCCTGCACCCCATGGGAGACCAGGAGAAGCACCTGGCTCCTGCCATCGGATCAGCGCGGTGCACCGGCCGCGGCGGCCATTGGAGGGTGAATCAATGGCAAAAAGGAAGACCTTTCTCTCTCACTGTCCACTCTGCCTGTCCAAAAAAAAAAAAAAAAAAATCCTCCTATGCATGGATTTCAAAAATTTTTGCACCGAAGAAACTTACCTTTTTAAATTCCATATTCTATGACATCTGAAGTCCCGGGCATTTCCGAAGACTCGTTTCCGGAGCAAAGACCACAGGACCCTGCCCTCCTGACTGCAGGGAGGGGCTTGAGCTGGCTCCCCGCAGGGCAGCTTTGCAGAAGAGACGCCATTGTCTCTTCATTCCTGAGGGTGTAGCGACCCCACGTGGCCATGGCCTGGTGCAGCCACTGACTAGGGGCTTAACTGGCTCTATTCGATAAGCAACCAGCAGGTGGCTGTCAAGTTTTGCTAAGCAGCCTGATGGTTTGCAGCTGGGCCCTTGAGCGCACAAAGTGGACTGAGCACGCCCCCTTCAGGCAACAGTGGGAGGTGCGGCGACTCAAAGGTCTACTTCTTCCTTTGGGCCCCCAGCCCGGTCCCCACCAGCTGCTTCGTGTTAGAGGAAAGTTGAGAGGCAGATGAGCCCACAGGAGCTCTGCCTTGGCCTAACCACAGGCTCAGGAAGTGGAGATGGGGTCTGCGCTGTGAGAGGCTGGAGGGTCGGTAGGGGTGATCTAAGCCAGGCCCATAAATGAGTGAGGTCCCCCCACCTTAAAGCTACCCCTTGCTATCAGCTGTGAATCAGTGAGGACATGCACATGGCTGCTAATGCATCCTGAATGCAAGGAATTGTTTTTCCCTCACATAACCCAGAGTCCCTCAGAGGGAGGTGGCCAAGGAGTACTAGGGGAGCCCCCGTGACATCATGTGAGACCCCAAGTCTGTCTTCTGCTTCAGCAACCCTAGAACATGGCTTCTCTCAACAAGATTCAAGCATCCTGGTCACAATGTGTTTGCAGGAGGCACACCCATTGCCTCTGAGCTCCTGGTAACAAAAAGAACAAAGAGGGAGAAAGGAAGAGTCGTTTGCCAGAGATAGTCTCTAAAATGGCACTGCGTAGCTTCACCCAGTCATCTCCCTTTCACCTTGCTGGCCAGCCCCACCTGCAAGCCAGACTGGGAAGTGAGATTTTGTAAGCTAAGCCTCTTCCTGAGCAAACAGGGGAGAATCTAGGAAGGATCAGAGGTCTCACCTGTAAGTGGTGGCGGTAACAGCCACTAGTTCCTCCAGGCGTACCATGTTTACATGGACTCGCGGATCTTGCCCGCTAGCTCCTGTCATGGGTAAGGAAGCATGGGTTAGTGAGGGTATGTTACCTGCATTACAGCTGGTGATTGATGGATGGAGACAAAATCTGAACCTAGATGAGACTCCAAATTCCACAGTCTTAACTTTATGAAAGCACCTTCAAAAAGGGCAGAGACATAAGGCGTGGGCCACATTCTCCTACCCCAAGTGGGGCTCACAGCAATGTATAAAACTGGCCCCAACCTGTCTCCGTACAGTAGTGAACTGCAACCTAACTGGATGTGTAAATAGGCTGTAACCTATTCTATCCTCAGGCAATCACAACCAGCCACCTAGTCAAACCCCGTTCAAATCAGACAGACATGAGCTGTAGCCACTCGCCTGTCTCTCTGCCTCACTTCCATTTGCTGGGTGGCATGACCTGTTCTCTGGCTATAAAGACCCTACCATGTGTTGGGGCCAATGGCACTCTGGAGCTAGAATTGCAAGTAAAGGCAATTAGGGTGCATAACATTGGTTGTAGTGTTGTAATGTTGGATTTTATCAGTAGCATTTCCCGAATCTTTGAAAATGTAGAAAACACTAAAACATCCTTGTTGTGGTGGGAGGTGCTCCTGCCATCACGGAGCGGGCAGAGGTGTAAATTCAATAAGAGAGTTTGCCCAACAATTCACTTTCCCCACACCCTGAATCCTTTCTCTGCCGGCTGCTGCTTTTTGAATCTCAAGGGAAACCATCCACATGGCCATGAGTCTAGGTTATTTTGGTTTAACAGTGATCAGTACAAGGTGATCTGTCCATATTTTATAGTTTGTACATCTGTGTAGAATTGTTTTAAAAATTTAAATGTCTAGAACATAAATTCCTTGGCTTTGTAAATTAAAGGTCCTTGACGTCATAAAAGACTTATGCCAGGATTCCTGTCCAGGAAAGGGCTAGAAACCCCCCAATATTTTTTAAGTAGAAAATATTTTAAAATATAAACTACTTGGCAAAGAGGCACAAGGACAGAGAAACGGAGGCTATGTGACCACTGCCAATGGAAGATAAACTGGAAGTTATGATCCTCATGACGAGGGTCGGTGTGGGACGGAGCTGCGGTGAGAGGCAGGACTTTGGCACAACCGGCCGCTTCCACCACGGCAAGTCCAGTTCTGCCGGGGACACTGACAACGAGCTGCAACACGGAGGGTGGGCCTGGGGACGCACTCTGCACCGCACCAATTGCCTGTGCTTTATTCTCAGGGAGCCATTTGTCACAGGGTCTCAGCAAAGGATTGGCAGCGTGGCTGGGACAGCCAGGGCAGGAGAGCCTGCCTGCTCCTCGCATCTCTGCCCTCCAACCCTCTGCAGTACTGCACGACATCCAGTAGAGGGAGCCAATCACACCTTCTCCTGTCCTTTAGAAGGGCACTTGTCCCAAATGGCAGCTCCTTGTCTCCCTCCTTGACGCTTCCCTTCTCTGGATCCGTCTCTTCTTCGCTGATTGACCAAATATCCGTGAAAGCCTAAAAGCTGACCTCCTTGCAAGTTACTGTGGAGATAAATGAGAACAGGGTCTCTGCTTTCGAGGAGCCCAGAGTGTAATAAAAGAGAAAAAGGAACCACTGACATGCAGGAGATGCATGCGCCCCAGATGCAGCATCGCGCTTGCGCTGGTTCTCCCAGCCCACAGCCCTGTCTTGTGTGTCTCCAGGTCCCCATTCCACACAGACTGCAACCTGCTGGAAGCTCCCTCAGCCCTCTAAGCCTCAGTTTGCTTACCTGTGAAATCAGCCTCGCCATAGATTTCTCCAGGAAGTTTCCAGCAAGTCAGCATAGAGGAGTTAATTTACTGAAGCACCTGTTATGTAAAAAAAAAAAAAAAAGTCAGTGTTCCTTTCAACCCATAGCATGTTCATTGTTGCATGCACACGTTTATCGTAAGGGTGTGTGTTACACAGCTATCATATGAGGAAGTCCTCGTCACAGGAGGCCCTGCATAGGCCCCTCACAGGGCCACAGGCCACTTCCGGCTCAGCTGGTGGCCTGGCTGTTTGCCACCAAGGGTTCCCCAGGGCCATGTAATTTATCTCAGGTTGTCCTCAGGGTATCGGGTCCCTCAGTCTCCCTGCACATGGAGGGTAGTGAGACAGGGTACATGGTCTTTCCTGACTCGGCTGGGGAGGTTCTGTAGAGACAGAACACCCATAGTGTTAGGGAGTGAGAGCCCCCACCTCAAAGACATGACCCCTACCCCAGCACACACTCCTGCCCTCCTCTCTTCCCCCCAGCCCAGAAGCCGGGAAGACTCCAGGTGGCCTCGCTCCTCCCTGCAATCCCCCTCTGTAGTGAGTGGTAGGTGCACGCCCTCACACTGCCCTGAACCTCCTGGGCGCTCCTGCACAGCACCACTGGGTTTCACTCATTGGAGGCCAAGTTCTCTGCTAAAGGGTCCAGGGCTGGAGTCTTCTTAGTTAGATTAACTAAGAGGCAGGGTCTCCACGAGGCCTGGGGTCCAAATCAGACCTGACACAGGTCAGCCTCTGGCCTTGGCAGTTCCCTCCACCATTTGGGGGTCAAGTGAGGGGTTGGGCTACATCTGTGGATTCCAAACCTGTTGTGTTGTGGCCTCCTTTCAAAAATACATTTTTTACTGGGCTGGCACTGTGGTGCAGCCAGTTAAGCCGCCTCTTGCCAACACCAGCATCCTTCACTGGAGCGCCAGGTCAAGTCCCGGCTGTTCCAGCTCCCTGAGGAGATGCCTCGGAAGGCCCTGGAAGATGGCCCAAGTACTTAGACACCTGCCACCCATGTGGGTGACCTGGATGGAGTCCCTGGCTCCTGGCTTCAGCATGGCTCAGCCTCGGCTGTTGCCATTTGGGGTATGAACTAATGGATGGAAAAATGCGTCACTCCACCTTCCAGATAGATAAATCTTTTTTTTTTTTTTTCAAAAAGAAGAAAACCATTTTACCTGACTGCCCACGGGGTGCTCACTGTGGCTGCTCAGGGCTGGAACAAGAGGTTGGAAAAACCAAACCTACCCTGTGCGTGCAGTGCCTTCACTGTGTTCTATTCCACTCAGTTTTATGAGGCCTCTTCCAGCAGTTTGTGGGGAACTGACTTTACAGATCAGTTTATTTTGGTGCAAAAAATTTTAAAATCTGTGCATACAAGGAGGGAGCTTCAAAAACGTCACAGAGGTGTATAGTCGTGGGAGGGGGGGTGCTGTGGCACAGTGGGTTAAATCATCATCTGCAGCGCTGGCATCCCCTATGGATACTGGTTCGAGGCCCAGCCGCTCCACTTCTGATCCAGCTCTCTGCTATGGCCTGAGGAAGCAGTGGAAGACGGCCCAAGTCTTTGGGCCCCTGCACCCATGTGGGAGACCTGGATGGAGCTCCTTGCTCCTGGCTTCGGCGTTGTGGCCATTTGGGGAGTGAACCAGCAGGTAGACGATCTCTAGCTCTCCCTCTCTCCTCTGTAACTCTGCCTTTCAAATAAATAAAATAAATCCTTTAAAAAAAAAAAAAAAAGAAATGCCTGTCAAAAAAAAGCCACTCTGCCTGTCAAAAAAAAAATGCATAGTAGGAAAACAATTATCCATGGACGTCAAAAGGTTTTGCTCCATAATGAATGAATCTTACAATTCCATTTTCACAAACTTTTTGAGGTCCCCTTGTGTTTCACTGTTTGGGAAGAGGCAGACCACCCACTGATTTGCTGTCCTGGCTTACAAATGGGTCATGATTTCCAGAACCAGTCACGACACCCCATGGTGAACCGCTGGGCTGTGCCTTTGACCCAGGGACACTCCCGGAAGGCCACCCTTGGGAACATGAGAACTTGGGAAAGCGTCAGCTCCCCCCACCCCCGGCTATAGCAGGTGGAGGTGGGATGCGCAGGACACAGAAGTGGCTTCTGCTAGGTGAGCCTCTCCTACAGGCCCAGCCCGCTGGGGCTTGGAGGTCAGAGGTCACTGTTCCCAGGCCCAGACCAGGCGCTTTCATCAGCCAACCTGCTCATGAAGGTGCCTGGGCCACGTGTGGATCTGGAGCTCTGTTTCTACCCGGCTTTGCCCATCAGAGTCCTGGCTCCGTGGTGCCTCAGGTGAGCACGGGAACCTGCCTCTGCTAGTGCAGGGACCCGCCAGTTCACCCCTCACTGCTGTGCACACAAATGGCTGCAGCCTGATTGTGGGGGCTACATTATGCAACTTTACCTGTGTGTTTATTTCAGTTGCAGCAGGGGGCCCCACGGCCTCTGGTCCTCTCGTGCCACCTCTTGCCAACAGCAGCTGGGCCCTTGCCCTGCCCAGAGGTGGCTGTGGTAGCAAGGAAGCATCATACCAAGCAGCCCTGGAGTGCACACAAGGAATCCCCCTGCCCCTGCCCCACCCCCGGCCCCGCAGCATCAGATCCAGTCCCAGGGTTGCACTCTCCTGGAAACAAAACCAATCACCAGAAAACGGCAACCCCCGGTGCCGCCTGGAGGTCTCGGTTGTGAGCTGCTCTTCTGAGGAGCCGGCTCTTTGCCAGCAGGGCTGCACTTCATGGTAATCGTTTGGCTCTGCTTTGCGGGGTGTTAATGGAACTAGGATCTCTCCTCCAGGATGCATTTCTGAAACAGGCGCCACACAGTGGAGAAACCGGGGAAGAGGCTGTCGGGGATGAAGGTCCAGCTCGCTTTCCTGGAGGCTGCCCGTGTGCGCCATCCCCAGGAGCCTGGGCCCTGGCGCTCGGCAGGAATCCTGTGCCGTAGGCTGCTCTCCAGGAGACAGAGGACGCGACTGCTGCGCACAGGGGCTGCTGCTTTCTCTCTCCTGTCTTTCCCACGTGGCGCTTCCCTTCCTCTTCTTTCAGAACCAAGAGCCCCTCCCTGGCTGGTGCTCCTGCAAGTGGGCTCCTGAGTCTTCAGGTGCAAAACGGGCCCTGGAGCAGCAGGCTGCCCATGCACCTCTGTAGCCTGTGGCTCTCCTCTTTCTCAACAGAGCTGTCACCTTCCTGCCCAAGAGCTGGCGAAGGAGTGACCTGGTCCTGCACCTGGAGTTCCCGTTCGCTGCTGCAACGAATGACCACCAGCTGGAGACTTAAGACGACGCAGGTTTACTATCCCACAGTTGTGGGTGTCAGAGGTGCCGCAGGAACCCCACTGGGCACCATCAAGGGGTCAGCAGGGCTGCTCTGTTTCTGCAGGTGCTGGGAGAGACTGTTTGCCTTGCCCCTCTGGCTTCTAGAGGCTGCTTGCATCCCAATTCTGGGCCCCCCTCCTCCATCTTTAACACCAGCAGTCACAGCACTGTGATGTCCACTTCTCCCACCTGTCCTGTCTCCCACCTCCTGCTTTCACAGCTAAGGATAACCCAGGGTCATCTCCCCATCTCGGGGATACTCAACTCGACTGCCTCCATAAAGCCTCCTTTGGCACAGAAGCTGTGTGAGTCTTAAAAGAACAGCACAGCCCACGCAGCTTTAAACCCCAGACGTGGTGAGCTCTCTTACAGTTCTGGAGACAAGTCCAAGGTCAAGGTGCCAGCAAGGTTGCTTTCTGCTGGGGCCTCTGTCTTGCAGATGGCCTTTTCTCTATGCACACACAGCACCCACTGGTCACATTATGATCTCATTTGACCTTAATTACCTCTTTAAAGGCCCTGTCCCCAAGCACAGCTACATTCTAAGGTCCTGGGGGACAGGACTTAAACACATGTACATGCATGGCCATTTGCAGGTCCCAGGGATGAGGACATGGAGAGCTTGCAGTGAGAGGGCGTTATTCTGACTTTCATGGAGGATCGAGGACATGCAGGGGGCACCCACACATGGGGCAGGCCCTGAGCTCTTCAGCTCCAGGCAACAGAGGCGTGAGAACCCGAGTAGGGGGCTTCAGTGCCTGGCCCAGCCAGGCCTCCTGGGATTGGAGGGCGAGTGGCAGCAGCCCTGTCTCCTCCTCCCACTCAGGGCCAACCGCGGCCACCAGGAAGGTGACCACCCTGCCTCCTGGTCAGCTTGACATGCCCATGTGGAAACTGCAACTTCTCATTCGCCATGTCTCCTGCTGTGTCCTGAGACAGCAGTCACTCTTTGAGCACACAGACCTCTCAACCTTCAGAGCTCAGGATTAAGGGGAGGGGAAGAACAAATGCTCCAGGTGCACTGGTGGAAGTTAGAGTAGCCACCCTTGCTTCCCCACCGTGAGCAGAGCACCATGTGACGGTGCCTCATCCCAAGTGTCTCTCACGTCCCTGTAGAGCCACACCAACCTCCTATGAGTGCTTCTGTATGGGCCACGCATCCCTGGCCACAGGCCCACCTCTATGCTTTCGCTGGTCTTTCACAATGCTGATAAAGCCCGCAGGCCATGCCCACCACAATCACGCTTCTGGGGGTCAGGAAGGGTGACCCCACGGTCAGGAAGGGTAAACCCACACTCCGAGCGACGGAACCAATCACTGGCCCTTCCAGGGTGAAAAGAATCCATGGTGCCAAGCTTGCTCCCACGGTCAGCACTTGTCTCTGTTAATAGCAGAATGGACATTTAGTGGAAGCGGTACTGACACTTCATCTTTGGTAAGTTGAATCCCATGCCACTGGGCCCATGTGGTCCTTTCCACCACTGTGGAGGTCAATGACAATGGCTGGCTGATGTTCCCTGGTGGAGGCAGTTGTGTCCACGGGGGTGTTAGGTGCCCTTTCCGTGGGGGACGCTTCCCAGAGAACACTAACTCACGTGTGTTGTCATCACACCTGCCTGCCTCTCCTACAGGTTTACCCACACATCTCAGCACCAGACCACTCTGACCCAGGTCTTCCCTCCTTGACCTTCCGGACTCCTGAGTCCAGGTGGGTCACTGGCACTTCCCAC